CTCAGGCTGGTTTCGAACTCCTGAGCTCAAACAATCCGCCTGCCTCGGCCTCCCAGAGTGCTAGGATTACAGGCGTGAGCCACCGCGCCCGGCCCATTACCAAAATTTTTTAAAAAGTAAGGAGCAGGAGCTCAATGATTAAATGGGCAGATGTTTTGACTTTAAAAATAAGTAACAGTTGAAAATTTTAAAATTTAGTATATGTTCTGTGTAAAACCTTTAATACAGAAAATGTTAGAGGGAAAGAAACTATTGGAAAGAGATAATTAGTTGGCATTTTAGGTATATACCCTTCCAAATGTCTTTTTTTTTTTTTTAACCCTCACAGAGTGCTATATAGAAATTTTTAATGATTTTGATATGGAAGTGATGGGATTATTTACAAACTTGTCATCCTAGTGTTCTTCACATGCTTTTTTCATGTAGCAAAATATATTTTCGTTTTAATATACATGGATTCTCCTGCTTCATCATTTTGGATGCCACATAAAGTCTATTACACAGCCATGCCATGCTTATTTAAACCAGTGTTAGACATTTAGGTTCTTTCCAATTTGCCATTACAAGCGCCACCACAGTGAACATACTTGTACATAGATCTTTCATACATCTTGCTGATTATTTCCGTAGGCTAATCTCTTGGATATACAACTGCCGAGTCAAATGTATGCACTTGAAATTTGTTTTGCCAGTTTGTCTCAACAGCATTTAGCTGGGATTGCAGATGATCAGGTTGGAGAGATGAGGCATACATATCAGAGGTTTGTGGTTTCCATGGAAATATGCCAAATGAGTGATGTAAGTGATAAACAGAAGGGACATGACCGTGGGCTGCTCAGAGAATACTTCATGGAATCTGTGGAACTTGAGCCAGGAATTAAACATTGGTTTAAATTTAGATAGGCTGGGTGGGCGATGAGGCCAGGAGAGAATGTCACTCACAGGTAGGTGTATTTTGAAGGTGGCCATGGGCCCATCAGCCCTTAAAGTAATACCAATCTTCCT